CCCCCCTCCCAACCGCGGCCGCGCAGCGGCTCTTAGGCGCCCCGAGGCCCCGCGTTCCACGCCGGGCTGCCCGCCGCCGCCGCACGCTAGTTCGAGTCCTTCCTGCCTGGCTTCCTATTGCCAAGCCCCACCATGATCCGAGCCCAGCATGCACAGCGCCGCCTCCTCTCGCTCCTCTCGCAGCTCCAAGCACGCACTGGAGAAGGGAGAGCAGACGCGGCGGCCGCGGCGGCAGCAATACACAGGCACGCCGCAAAGACAGCAAATCTGGAGGCTCCGAAGTTGCAAGCGCCCGCCCGTAGAAATTTTGGGTGTGCGCGCGCTGCTGCTGTGGCTGCGGTGTTTTGGGGACTTCTCCACTTCCTCTTTTACATAACCAAAGCCTACCAATAGGGAGGCGCAGATAACGATCTTCACGTTCAGGAGCAATTGTATCCACTGATTTCAGAACTGGGGGTCAGATCTCTCTCCCCCCTCCATTCCTGATCCAGAAGAAAAGAAGGGCGGGCTGCTCTTCAATCGCGAGGTCTATTTTGCTCCCTTTTCTAGTTAAAGGAAGACCCCGGTTCTCTTATCTTCTCGGGCTGTCCTTCTCAAGAGCTTTGGAACAACTGCACGATCCTTCAACAGGTGCTACTTTTCCCTGGCATTAAAACTCAGCCATGAATCAAAACCGACCTGAAAGTCTATTTGCAGCAATAATCTTTATCTGAAAATTTATTTCACAGTATAGCACAATAATGCAATACAAGACTTAGTTCATAAAAATAAAAACTATGCAATATTTGGATATGCACTTTTACTTTAAAAGTAAGAATGTTATCTTGAACAAGGCAACTAACTAATGACCTTTTAATATTGTAAAGGTTTGTTCTAAAAGCTTTCTCTTGAAGACTCTTTGGAAATGGTCCACAAAAACATTTTTTCCCTAATAATTAAAATCAGCATTTTTGCTTCCACGTTTACGAATGGTACGATTCAATCCAGAGATCTTTCACATACTTACAAGTGATCTTAAAAGACTCATTTTGCCTTTGACAGATCTAATCATCAAGAGAGATCAAATTAGGAAAAGTCAGAGCTCAATCACACTTTGGAGGGAATCCCATCACATTCAGTGAGGTTTACTTTGCAAGAGGGGTGCAGTTGATTGCATTATCAGACCCATACTGAACTGCTTGAAGATTCAAACAAAAGAAGGGCTGGTCCAAAATTATTTTGTGCCTGAGATGAAAAGGGCAACCCCTTTCAAGCCATGTGCAAAAGCTGTCAGTTGCCCTGAGATGTATTCAGGACTTTCTTTTAGAGCAGCAGACTTTTCCTTAGAGGGCATAAATAAGGCTACTGGGGCATCCAGCTTTTTCCTCCCAATGCCTTGCTGCCCTTTTCAGCCTGTATCGTCTAAGACAACTGTCTCATTCCAGCTAATAGTAGGGCCAGTTCTGGCATTTATCACTTGTAATACTGCCTTCAGCTTAGCTAGTTAAAGAAGGAATCTTTTCATTGGTTTAGGAATGTCGTTACTTCTAAGGAGAGTGAAAGCAGCAAAAGAATGTTATGAAAAACAATTTTCTTCTCCCTTTCAAAAGTCTCTGCCTCATCCCATCAATCACAGTAATCTCTTCATTGTGATGTCACAAAGAGTTGCTCTTCTGATGTCACAAAGGCAGGATTGTGAGGATGGAAAATGAGTAGGGAATGCATAATAAAAATATGGAACAAATAGAATCTCATGGTAAAATAAAGTATGAGGAAGACTGAAGTTGCCGACCGGAAAATCCAGTTGTCAACATCATTAATTGGAAATGATATTGGCGCAAGATTTTCTGAAAGTATAATGTGATGAATCTGGCAGTGAAAATTATGAGTATGTTAGAGAGAGAAAGAGAGATGAACTCAAGATATATTACCAACTTTCACAATTGCTAGCTATGGTGGAAAATGCAAGACAGCATAACTCTAAATGTAGTTAATCTGCCCCCAAGAGCATTATGCCTCTGTTCTAAAATATAACTCAGGTCAAGGAAACCTCAGAATGTAAACAGCAAAACTGCCATATTTTTCACCAGCAACTCTTGAGTGGAATGTACAGTACCTTCTCTGAATATGCTGCACATCCTTGGGTGGTTGCATGCATTTGACTGGAGGTGGATGGGTTTGTGATCCAGCCTGAAAGTAGTCTTTTGTGTTATTCTGAGATCCCGGTGATTGCTGGAGAAGGAAATCTTGTTTGGGGACTTCAACAACTTCCCTATTTTTTACAAGCATCCCTCTACAAGGGGGCTGCTGCTAAGTTTGGAATTAGTGTGCAGTCTTAGGAAAATGGATGAGATACCCCAATAGTTTTGCATCCTCTAGTGCTACTGGATGCCCTCCAAACTGTCATTCAGAATGAATGGCATTTGTCATCCTTCCCAGACAACACAGCTGGAGACCACCTTGGCTAGGAATGCTGGGAAATCTCAGGCAGCAGGTTTAGGAACGTCCTAAGAGGGAAGATCCATGTAGGCAAATCAATGTTTTTATGCATATTTTTTTATGCACTAGAGAGAACCAAATGCCTTTAATGTTATTTTTCTATCATGGTTTTATAGATGGCATCATCTATAACATTCTATCATATAAAAAGACTGATTTCAACACATTCTGGCAAGTGCACATCAGATATTGGGGGGGGGGGGAATGCCATGCCTCACTCTGTTGAAATGTAGAGGAAATTTTCCCTTCTCATGAATGAACTCGCCACAATCTGAATATGTAAGGAGTCTCCATTGCAAAATTAGGAATGGAAATACAATATAACAATCTAGGTAAAGAGGTAGAAAATGTACGAAAGCTTACATGTTGGTCAAAGACCATAATAAAGGTTTACCTACCTACCTACAAAAGCTTGGCATCTCTCTCTATCTCTCTGTGCTAAGAATTGCTTTCTGTTTATATGATCGCTTGAAGGAAAATACAATAACAATGTCAAAAATAAATCCTTCCTACCAGTACATAGGCTAGGATATATCAGCTTTCCTAATCACCAAATATAAAGTAGGGTTGTATGACCTAAGACTCCAGGGCTACATGTGACCCCTCCCCCCCAGCTTTGGGCACAACCCCCAGAGTCCTCTGAAAACTGTTGCCAGATTCTAGTGTTTAATAGATGGGAGAACAGAATGCTAATAAAATGAAATTTAATCATATTAACTGTAATTAATTTAATGAAACCGACATTGATTTGTTGTAATTCCCCCTATTTCTTCAATAGCCAAGTGAGACCCTTGGCCAAGAAAGGTGCTTGTGTAGAGGCAGGGTGAATTATACAACTCATCTCTTCTCAAATGAGCAAACATAAATCTGTTATAGCATCCAAACAATCACACAGAGAATGTCCTATTTATTCCCCCTTTTCCTTGACAAATGCAGTGGATTTTATCCCCATTTTGTGTACCCTATTTGAGAGCAATTATATCTTCATTATGGAAGAAGAAACAGTGGAGAAATGAAGGTCTGTTTAAGTTTGGAAATTTATATCTTGATTTGGGAAGTGCTGGCATTTATGCACTATTTTATGTAAGCGGTTGAAATATACGTGAGACTATAAAGAGCCACAAAGGAGCTTGTGGTATTGATGTTTGCCTTTGGTTGTAAAAGTATATAACTAGTAGAATAACCCACTGAGTGTTAATTGTAAGAAAGGGTATTTACCGTAGAATGAGTTAGCAACTTTGGTTGACTTGCAATATACTGATGATAGTCAAAAGGATGGAACTATTCTCATACATGCTTTTAACAGTTATCTGGTTGATTATACAGAATAAAAATGTATCAATACAATTTATTTTAAGCATTACATTACTCCAGATAAAAGAAATTTATTTGTATAGCTAATGGTTTTTTTGCAGTGTAAGGGTTTGCATTACAATAACTAAATAACTACATGTTTGTTTATTTGTTTGTTTGTTTGTTAGATTTATATGCCCGCCCATCTTAAATACATGATTCTGGGTAATGTTGTTGGTTTCCTCACAACTAGCACAATGATTGAATTCTACTGCAGTCCACTGTAGGAGGATCTGTGACATCTAATATTAGATCAGTGATACAGTAAACATACGACTTTCTGGAAGTGAATACACAGAATTGCATGAGTAATCCAAACACATCAAATGCAGAATAATGTTGTATAGGAAGGAAGGAAGGAAGGAAGGAAGGAAGGAAGGAAGGAAGGAAGGAAGGAAGGAAGGAAGGAA